GAAATGATCGGGGAATCCCTCCGGAGTGGAGTCATGACGACTGGATCTGAATTATTTTTGTTGTATTTGGTGGTTTGTGTTCCAGCTGTCGATCAGCAACTATATATACATAATCCACCAGTTAAAGGAAATACAACTAATGGATTGTGTTATATTAGCTGTACAATTTACCACATATGGTGTTCTTAGTTTCCATACCTCCTGTGTTTTACGAGCTACTTATCAAGTCTTGGCAAACGGCATAAAACACGATTAAACGTGATAGTATATAAAACCATGCTCGTATCTACAACCTATAGAAATGCAAAACGGCGTCAGTTTAGACGTAATTCTGTCCTCCTGCTTACCGCATAATTTATGAGAAAACATTTCATAACATTAACACAACATATTCGAGGTGGTTTTAAATAGCATATCCGTATTTATTTATTTCTCCAAGTTATGTTTTTGTGTGCACTGAGGAGTCTCAAACAGGCGTTTGTTTAATCATTTAAAGATTGGCTTTAATCAATGTTTGAAAATGAATTCTTCATATTTGATAAATGAGAGGTAACATTTTATTTATGGTATTATTTCCACATATTTCTCTCCATTCTTCCTTCTGCCAACGGTGTCGCAGTTTCTCGTCTCTCCCGTTTGTGTGCTTAGTGCGTACGCATGGGTTAGAGTTTGCGTGGAGGACAGCACATTTTCTCGTCAAGTTAGTATTTTATAAATCGCAAACATTGCGTAGAAACTGGCGTACGCCATTTTTTGAGCGTATATCCCTTTATAAATGAGGCCCCAGATCTGGATCAGTTTTTATCAGATCCGTTGCAGCCCCTTTTTTAGAGATTTGGGTATGGAGGAAAATAGAGAGGGTTGTATTTTCTGACACTTGGTGAGTTCCCTGGAACACCGGGGACACATATTCATGTATAAAAGACGTACAAAAGTGCATTTTGCATGATAGGTCCCCTTTAATTTCAATAAATGCATGAAATTCTGAAATACAATAAGTAGTCATGTTTAGTAATGATTAGCCTAATATTGATCATGATGATGATTAAAGCAGCCCTATGTGAAAACTGAACTTCCATCAATAGGCTGCATATTATGAAGCACAAAGTGTATCAATATGTGTTTTCACGTTATTGCAATACAGATTATGATTCAACAAAAGACAATCATTGTTTATTAGATTTAGCATTTGCAAGTTCAATATCAAAATCAATACCAGTGTTTTCGTAATTGATGCAATCTTCTTTTTGGGAAGCCTCTCTGATGGCACATCACACGTTCTTCCCGCCCATCATTACTGCAACCACAGCTAACAGCTAGCTGAAGCTAAGCAATAAACAGAGTGCTTCTGGCATTCCCTCCCCATTTGTGTTCAATTATAAAACACAATGTTCCCAAAATGTCATTAATGAATTTGCTCTCATAAGCGCGCTGGAGTCATGTGACTGAATTAACTCTGAGAGGGAGGAAGTGATACACAGAGAGAGATTCAGCCGACATGTTACTGATAGTTACAGCGAGACCCTCCGCTCTATATAGCTCCCCCAACACACAAGATAAGGTGTGAAGGGGGGGAAACATGAGAAGGTTACATGCACAGCTCAGTAATTACACACACATGAGACACATGACACTGTGCATGTTACTATGGAGACAGATACAGACAGATACTATGATAAAGCCACAGATTGCCATCATCAAAGAGGAACTCCTAAATCAGTTTACCAGAACTGCTTTGCGTGAGACAACGTTTGCTTTCAATTTGACTTAATTTAAAGTTTTCAAATCAACTTTATCATCAAGGCTACAGCTTAGTTTGTGGCAATGAACATGTTAAGTCCCAGGCTCCTTCAGCAAATTAAAAAAAAATACAATTAAGGCAAAATAAAAGAAATAAAATAGTGCTTCTGCAGCCCTCAAGGGTTTGAAGAAAATAACCAGGTGAAGAATGAAAGGTCAGCATGGGTCTAGGGACAGAAATATGTTTTATGGAAGTACAATACTAAATGTGTCTCGTGGGAAAATTGGCATTTCATAATAGCTGAGTAAATATATGTAAGCAACACTTGTGTACATGGTTTTGCAAGAGTAGCACAAGTATGACAACAAGATATAATAGGGAATATTCTTTGCTTTTTTCATTCTAACAAACTGACTGATTTTCTGATTTCTATGAATCGTGTCAGTACTCTAAGCTGCACAAACGTTTCCCCTTGTGTATTTTCTTAGTTAAACAAATGCAGGAGCGTTACCATTTGGAAAAGTCATAGAATTTTTTTTTACTTCCTCTCTTTCAGTCCCTCATTCTCAGTTTCATTTAGGCGGCCGATAAGAGGCGTCCATAAAGTAGCCGCAGTGTGTGTGTGTGTAGCACAGAGTGTGTGTGCCACAGAGTGTGTAGCACAGAGTGTGTGTGCCACAGAGTGTGCGCCACAGAGTGTGTGTGTCACAGAGTGTGTGTGCCACAGAGTGTGTGTGCCACAGAGTGTGTGTGCCACAGAGTGGAGCTGCAGGACTCTGAGCATTAGCTGATTGCTCTGATAATGTACAGCTCGCCCGGCATGGACTCACTGAGGGCGAGGCGGGGCAGCACACTGACGCTGTGTATTTATAGCTGTGCTGTCATCAGAAAACCCCTAACTCACCCCGCCACCTCCACCAGCCGAGGCTCCCGCCCTCAGGGAAACCCCCACCAACAAGGAACTCCAGCGAGCCGCCCGCCGTTTATTTTGGGCGGCAGCGGACGAGCCTGAGAAGCTTTCAGGCTGCGATCCTCTCTGAGAGCATGAGGGGGTGAGGCATGTGTGTGAATAGAGTGGCAGAGCAGAGTGGGCGGGTGCATGCACTCGAGAAATATGTGTAGTTTATAAAAGTGTGTGTTTCAATGTGGTTTGTGTGCCAAATCCGACAAGTAGGCCATTACATTTTGCCTGATCTAAACTCGGGAGAGCCAACTGTTGTGAAACACTGAAGATACAGGCCTTTTAAAAATTGATTTTACTCCATCAACTCATATTTTTGGGAAGTTTTATATGTATTTGTCTAATGGCAAAATGGTTTGCATTACATTATATAATAGTTAAAGAGGCCCTATTGTGCTTTTTGGGGTTTCCCCTTACCTGTAGAGTGTTATATAGGTTTTGTGCATGTAAATGGTCTGCAAAGGCTAAAATCACCCCCCCTTAAATGCCTCCATTGTAGTCCTTTGTTTAGTTTTGTAACATAAGTGACATCACAATATAAGACTTGCGCTTCTATTGGCTAGCGCTCCAACACATTGTACATGATAGGCTAAGCGGGACACCTCTAAGCGGTTGACCAATCACAACAGAGAAGACAGGGCTCTAGTTTCAGACAGAGGGTGAAGAGAGACATAATCTGACAACACATTTTATTTGAAAGACTTTTTCTGAATTAGAAAATGTGTTTCAATACACTATAGTGCACAAAGTCATACATCGGTGTATGTGTTGTGTTCTTAATAATGAAAATGCAGCACTGCTCTATACCGTACTTTGTAATCCCTTTTATTGAGACAATCTCCTTGTGTTTATCTTCCGCACATCAACAAAGAGGTCATAATTGTGTGATGACAGGTACAGGTGAGCGGGTGTTGGACTGTCTTACTGAGGGCAGCGAGGTTGCAGCGGGTTAATCTTTCGGACATGAACGCCACAGCTAATTTCCTCACAGCCAATGAGAGACTGTCCGAGCGCTTGAGGAGCTGAACAGCTGCTCAGTGGGAGAAGGGAGAGAGAGATCGAGGGGGAGGGAGAGAGAGAGAGGAAAATACATCTAAGAAAGAGAAACTCAGAGACAGAGGAGCGCAAAAAGAATAGCATAATAACAAATATAAATGTTATGGTATAAAACATCTTATAATAATCCATGAGGAAGTAAGTCATCCTTGCATAAATGCTAATATGCCTGCAGTCAGGGTGGAGCAATAATCTGGTTTTCAGCATTGATATCAATATTCATATTATAATATATAGTTTATATGCATATTTCACTATTAGTATTTTTACTTCCTTGTTATTGTTATTATTATTATTTTTGTATTTTATTGTATTCATAAATAAAGCAACTGTTACTAAACGCAATGTTCCCATGGCATAAACAAAGTATTTACCTGTTGCACTATTAGTCTAGCATTTTGTCAGAAGTGTGTCTATTTAAATAGTTAATTATAAGGGATATTATAAAAAAATAAGTTTGTCTTAATCTGATTATAATAAAGTTATTTGATGTTGTTACATTTCTGATAAGAGCTTTTATGTGATGCTTGAATAGCAATTTTTTACTGAAAAGAAAGAAAGCAGGACAGTCAAGGAGAAGAGATAAACAGATAGACTTGAATATGGAAAGAGAGATGCTAGGAAAATCACAGACTGAAAGCAGAGGTCCTTGCAGGGTTCAGTTCAGGGTCACACATCACCCAAATCCTCCTCCCCTCACCAGGGTTGCACATCCTGGGGGAGGAACGCCCGAAAGGCAGACCGAGGTCCTCCATGACGTTACAGTAGAGCAAGCCAAGTACGTAGAGGCCACACTGTGCTCACAACTGTAACAGGAAGTCATTTTAAATATGTTTGTGTTTGTATGCATGTGTTGGTTGGACAGGCCTCAGATGATCCCAAAGTGACACATCATGCTTCAGAGTTTAAGCATTAAACAAGTACTGTAAGTCCTCTGTTGTTGCGCTCCAGCATGCATCAATTATTGAGAGAAACATTTAAATGTAAGTGCATGTTTTTTAGAGCATTTCATGCACTGCTTATAAAAAGATCAGAGTTGCAGAAAAAACAAATATAGTCATTAAGCAACCTTTCTCCAATCCTCTTCTACTCTGTCTTTTTATTTAAACTGCTGCACTTTTGGGTCAAGATTACAGCTTATAATATTCCTCGCTTTTGCAAAATAAATATATTTGACTGCCTGTCTCTTACAGAAGAGGATATGATACGAAAATTGAGCAGGACAATATTCAAAATACTTACAATGCGTGCACATCTCCAGGGGGAAACTGCCTTCATTTCC